CACAACATACCTCCGAGCGGCGCGCCGAGCACGCTGCGCGCAGCAGGTGTGCACAACGAGGCGGGATGCAAGAGTCGATCGAGGAGGTCGACGTGGAAGCGATCTCGGGAAGGCCATGCAAGCTCGACTTGGTGAGTCTCTCCGTGGCGGACAGGAAGCTCTTGGGCATTTTCCTGGCTGGTGAAATTCCCACGGAGACAGGGCGGCAAACGGGGAGACCAGGCGCACATTGCTGGCCACCGTGGCCGAGTTTCAGACACCTCTATAAAGATTGTCCTGAATGCCATGCGCTGCGTACCAACGTCGCGAGGAGGCGGGGTACCCCCGCAAATGTTTGGACCTCTGTACCCAGAGTTACGGCGAAGTCTGGCTGGATCACGCAGGAGATGTCGCCAAGTCCTTCTAAACGATCTGGGATGATGAATGCGGCTTGCGAGCTGGGGGCCCGTATTCTGCAGATGGAACCTTCACCGAGTACCTCTCGGATGTAGTTCACTTATGCGGGGAAAGTCACCGTTGCGGCTACCCCGCGCACCATCATCATCACCGGATGACGCATGCGTTCAGGGCCCGATTCATCGACTGGGCGGTGATGCCCGCGAGGGTCTTGGTGGAGGTGTTCTTGAGGCCGGGGAGGTCTAGTTTGGGCTCCACTACGCACGATGGCAATGCCACCCCTCTCCTCGAACTGTGGGAATGCATACTTTACGAAGATCGTTACAATATAACATCGGGATATTTCCAGCAAGCAACCACCAAATAAGTCGATGCACGCGGACTCCGTCAGGATGTTTCTGCCAAGCCACGAGGGGGGGGCCCGTCAAGCCCAGGGGCCGAGTGCGTTTGCATGCCCAAAAACTTCTGGGGGCCTCTGAGAATCGGAGGGGGGACATCGAAGGTTAGCTCGGCTCGGGGCCCGAGTTATCCGAGATGACGCTCGGCGCTGGCAGCGGCAATGGACCTGCGGCCCAACGCAGGGCATCGGTGGCCAGCGAGGGCGGCGCCCATTGTTCCGGGCCCCGCGCGCCGAACTCCGCGCAGCACAACTCGCCTGTCGAATGAGCCCCAGAGCCTGCTGCGAGCGATGGGCCCTCGCATCCCCATTCGAAGTTCCACCGCCTGTCTGGATTCAGGGCCCTCAGCAAACTGGTTTCCGACATCAGCTTGTTCTTGCTCGGGGATCTGGCGGTGAATCTCGTTCGGGGGAACTCGAGAGGGCAAAGTAGCCGAACGCGCCCAGCCAGCAGCTCGGCCTCGAATTAGCGCCGAGCTAGATGGCGCGACGCCCTGAATCTCTGAGCCAGCTTCGCGCCCCGCCAGCACGAAGCACGAAAAATTCATCTGATGATGAGGAAACGGGTCGGCGCGGACACAGGGCGCCTCGCAATCGTGGCGCCCCGAACACACTGCGCCCCCCCCCCCCCCCAGGATGCGCGCGTGGGATTCCAGAGGCATAGGTGATGACATCGTCGTCGTGCCCGTCGTTTCCGTCGCATCCGTGATCAAGCTAGCTTACCCATCTCGTCTAAAGATTCCCATGGGCATGCGTCGCTGCTTCGTCGGCGCGGGGAGGCCGCAGGCAATCTCTATTTCCACCAGGGCGTGGTCCGAGAACACCCTGGAGAGCAGCGCCCCTGGGCAGTCGGTCCAGGGCCTGGCCAGCGATGCGCGCCTGATTGCAGACCCAACCTGGGAACGAGATGAATACCTTATCTATGCTCGACGACATATTGGCGCTCTTGTTGAAGCGGGTGCCGCCAGGCATGCCTATCTCTGTGAGCGATGAGAGGATGGGGCAGGCGATGAGGCCCAAAGAAGCCCTCCACTCCAGCGCAGGAAGGGTCGGGCCGGGGGCAGGGGCCGCGCCCAGGAGCCCAGGCGCCTTGATGGATAGGACTAAGCCGCTAGCCACTACCACCAGACGGGAGGTCGGAGAGGACGACGAGTCGAGCAGACGAGCACGAAGAGCAGCAGCAAATCGCTCCCGCTCCAAAAGCAGCGAGCGCGTGATCGTGAACTCTACAGTGGCTGATCAAACGGTCCTCGGGGAATTTCACCGGCACTTCCTGGATGCGCCCTGGGACCAGGACTTGATGGTGAGCGATGGACGGGTCATGTTCAGGATGAGCGAAGAAGATTGAATTTGGGGATGAGTGTACGATACCACCAGCACGTGCTGGGGAGCAAGAGGAGGAGTAGGCGACGAAGCGGGAGTTGGAGTGGTAGGTGAAATCGGCGAGATCGGTCTGGGTGCCGTGAGTCTCTTGCGGGGGGAGAAACGCGCCTGGCTCGCAAAGCTTCCTGACTCGACTGGGCTGGCAAAATCTCGTGGCGACCGCGTGGCGAAATAAAGCAGTGAAATCCCAATCAGAGGCAAAGGCTGACCTGGTACTGATGCCCACCGCCACAGCAGCGGGCGAAATGCTTCACTGGGCGCCCTCACAAGCCTGGCGACAATTCCGTCGCACGGCCTCCTGGATGTCACCTGAAGAAGCTGAAG